AAAAAAATGACATCTCATTCACAAAGACACCGAAAGCGGGGGACCACAATTCTTTGAATTTGCTTGTTAAAAAGAGAGATCGGGGGAGAAAGAGAATTCGATTTTTTTAACTTATTTGGTCTTATGCATTGGTTAAAAATACTTGGATCAATTAATCAAAAAAATCTGTCACACACGATAAATGTCACGTTTTACAGCTCTAAAATTCTTGAGTCGGCGGTCTTGAAACTATAATTTACCGTAAAAGTTCTTCTTCTCATCCATTGTTATGTTTCATGTTTATTTGTAACATGAAGCATATTTTGCGCAACATTTGGCATAAGCAATCTTCGCGCGTAACATGAAAGTTTCGAGTTATTATCAATTTCAGTTAAGTGTGCAGTTTTGCATTACGTCACAACTTATGATGACAGCAGATTAACAAGGTAAATAGTACACGCCTCCTAACCGCAAGTTTTACGACTGGAACTTTCTTCTTATCCCTGATTGGTTGCTCGTGCAACAGACTATTTCCGTGTCAATGTTGATAATTTGAGTTGACCAATCACACAGTGGGGGCGTGATTTGTTTACGCTGGATGCATCTGTCGAAAAAGATCGTGACATAATGCAAAAAGGCACACTTAACGAAAAATACTAATAATTAGCAACGTTTTCGCTAGTATTCGCCCGAATGATGACTTTTTTTACTGCAATTTTAAATTAAATATAACTTTTATTTGCCTACTATTTAAATGGGCGCAAATGGGCTTTTAATTATCATTTAAACTTGACCACAGAATGAACAGGAACCACTATCCAAGTGTTGAAAAGGGATTACAAAAAGTGTGACCACAAAATATCCACAGAACACAAGTGTGTGCCGTGTTGTGATCATTGACATATGTAAATACGTATATGGGAAACCTGTGGATTCCATCGTGTCTCCATTCCACGGAAACCCCTATGTTCTAATTCCAAGTAGTTTCCTTATCATGGAAACCAATGGAATCTTCAGGTTTCCCATTTAGGGAAGCTACATGGAAGGCTTGGAAAATTTCTGGTTTCCCGAGGTTTCCCTGTTTCGGGATACTTAATGGAATCGGAGCGTATTAGTTTCCATGGTACAAAAACTTAGCAGAGTAACCTGTCATCCGCTGCGGAAACCAATGGGAAACATAATGTAAGCTTCAGATTTTCATGTGGTTTCCATATACTGTACGTGTACATAAATTGGCGTATTCAAATTTTAGTTGAATCACTGGGTACTGAGTTGTTGGCGTAGTCATGAATTAGCGCTACACACTAACCTGTCATATATCTTATTCATAAATGATTTCTTAGTGGTATTCATGAATTAGCGCATCGTTTGCTGGGCGAAAGTCGCTAAAATATGAAGCCCACTTTTTAAAGTACATGTTATACAGTTTTTTCCCATGAAGGGAAACTGCTCATTTCATCCAGTGTTAACTTAATCATTTTTAACATTTAAAGTAGAATAAAATCAGACATGTTTTCATATATTTATTTCACTCTCTGGTCAATGGATCCCTAAATGAGATAATCATAATAAAATAGGGAATGGCTATAATTTTTTATCAAAGGCTGGGTTATCCTTGCAATGTAAGCAATTAATTTCACTCGATATTAAATATAAGCACGCACTGCAATTCTTAATATAAGGATTAACACAGAGCACTACAACAGAATTTTTTTTAAAAATTTGTTAATACAAATAAAACACAAGAGTTAATAATGAAAAGCTATATACAAAGAGTTATGTGCTTGCAGGGATTGTTCAATAATGCTCATTATAAACAGTGGTGGCATCATCTTATCTACTATGAAAATTGTGACAAGAAAATTATGGACCATAAAGCTATTAAACCTAAAAATCTCCCTAATACAAAAGAAAAGAACAACTTTCATAGCAGACAAAGAAAAATACATTTTCGTCTAGTAATTTCCTAAGAAAAATAAATTTAAAACAAATTCAAACATTTGCAATAATACATTACAAATAATTAATTTCCATAAATATCCCACATAATTTTGTTTTGTCTTTTATCTTTCTGATTTTTAATTTTTATATTTTAATATGTTTAATAATTGGTCAAGTTTTACGTGCAATTTTTGTTACATTTCTGTATTTTTCATGCTTCTTTTTTACATTTATTTCTCATGCATACAGAACCAGATACAACATACAAGTGTTACATGTATTTTGTACAACCTATTAAGGGATGTCACAAAGTAGCTATGTATCTTTTCCAAATCTTTTTAGATATTCCTTTCCTGAATTTGCAAGAAATTTACATATATACATGTAATAAATTTGGAAATGGTAGAAATGCCCTTTTGTACAATTTAAAAAAAAATGCAAATACTTCAACCCCAAGGAAATTTAAAAGGAACTCTAATATTTTACCATTAGAAACAAAAAAAAAATCAGTTGTAGCAAAAAACTTGCAAAATTTAAAACATATACAGTATACAATGTATATTATTACTGGAATAGACAATGATAACCAGTTCCTTTTAGACATGTAATATTTTCTGGTCTTCCAGGGTCAATACCTATATAGTTACATGTACATGTATATATATCACAGTTTACATACTAGTATGTCTTGATTGGCACACCATCTATCACTTATCTCCAAGTAAAAGTATGATTATGACAGGTTTAAATTTGGATAACTGCATTATTGAATACCTGAATTTCATTTAACACATACATATTGCTAGTAATGCATATACATGTATATTTTTGTCTCAGTAAAGAAAATGTTCTAAAAGTTTAAGAAAAAAAATTAATATTGTGGAATCATTTTAATTTGTGGGGGTCAATGTTTGTGGGGAATCAACATTTTTATCTTTGCTAGGGACATTATTTTCTGGATTATTATATGGTAGATTCAATGAACTAATATGTTCACTATATAAACGTTCATGGGGATGTACATTCAAGGGGAAGGGTAACCATCCATGATTGATGAAATCTAAGAACATTGCACCCCCCCCCACTCAAGAACAATGATGATTCCACAGTACATGTCTCACAAGATATTAGGCATTAATTAAATTAGTACAAAAGTTTATAAATTCATTCTCTAGGGAAAATCACAATTTTTTCAAAGTCTTTATCCCATCCTTTATTGAAATCCTGAATAAAAACAAAAAAATATATTTACCAATAATGGACCTACATTATTTTCAAAACATTACAATGACCATGGCTATATGCAAGTGGAACACATTTTCTGAAATTTGCCGATAATGAAGTAAAATTTATATTTTCAAAACATTACAATGACTATAGTCTACAACTGTATCCAAGTGGAACAACTAATAACTACTTAAACAGTGCACAAGAGTTCATTCATGAAAAGTGATTTGATCTGTTTCACAGTCAGATGGGTGTAGTTATTCTAGAGGCACGTGTTAATTGTTTTGAACATATTAAATAATTAAAAAATAATTTGACTGATACAAGAAAAAAAAACAACATGTTAATTCTTCACACTGGTGAACAAAACAAAAAATTTCAATAAATGTATCACATTGCTGATGCACCAAAAGAAATATTTAGCCTGGAGGTCATGGCTATCATATATCACACATGTACATTTATCACAAGAAACATATTATGAAATAAAGTACATATTATACCGTACAAGAAAAACTTATGTTTGGATTTAAAATCCAAAAATTGATATTCATAATCTCTTTTAATCTTATAGTAACTACTGTCATTTTCAATATATTTTAACCTAGTTCCTGGGGAAAATGTTATCAAGTTAATATATTTGCTTCTATTAAATTTTATATGTATCACTTGATGTCCCTAAAAACATTTCAATAATTCCAAATCAGATTTATTTTCTGGTCTTTGACCAGGAAAATTCACAGATTTTAATTTCACATCAGCATTATTTACTATACGTAAATTCATGTTTATATTGTATAAGTGGAGGTTTTAGCCAGAAGCAATTTTAGTGATTTGTCCTAAAAAATTGGTATTTTATTTTTAGAGAGATGTAATTTTAACAATTTTTAAAATTATTGCTAAAGAAGCTAATAAAATAAAACATAATTAATTTCTAATCAATATTCAATTTTAGCCGATCTCATAACCCTTGTTAATAATGCCAAAATTAAATCCTCGCTAAAAATTCTTCTTATACGGTAATAAAAAATTTCTTTGTCTTCAAAGAAAAAAATCCAACCAATCACTTCCTTCTGAACTAAAAGTCATTAATTTTATGTACATCATAAAAATAATATATATCTTCTTAATTTAAATAAAACGACTGTCAAACCTTCACAATATTCTCACTATCTTTCCATGTGATCTTCAGGAATTATGGGACTTTGACCTCTGACCTAATGAGCTCTGACCTAATTCTGTGAGTGCAGGTGTGGGTAGGTGGGTGATCTAAAATCTGCATACGTCACCTATAGTACCGAGTCCGCCGTCCACAGCAACATTTACACAGGCAGGGACAAAAATAGAGGATTAAGTTAACAAAGACGACTAGAAGGGTGACCATTAGATAGCTATACAGGACTTGGTATCGGTTGGGATTCCACAAAATGCCATAATGAAGACTTCCTTTTGCATCTGAAAAATGAAATGTATTTACATATATGTGTATTTATACAAACACGTTCAATTATGTTATACATGTATATACATGTAGTCTAAATACTGAATAGGATTAACAAGGTTCCATAAGCCTGACTGGTAATATGTCAAATTATATAATGTTTTGAAAAAAAGAACATGACATTTCCGTCTAAGAGTTTCTTTGTTTGATTAACACCCTTTTAAGAATTTCTTACTGATATTAATTAAGACATTACTAGTTTCTGATGCCATCAGTGATGGAGAGTTGCAAATTAAGACCTATATTTGTAACTTAGGGGATTTGAGTAGTGAGGGATGTTTGCCACCACCTACTGCAACACGGGACCTCATTTTATGTGGTCTTATCCAAATGTTTGGTATCCATGTACTGCAGTGGGATTCCAACCCAGGACAAAAGGATCAATTCCTAACTCTGTGACTCTTGAGCAAACACTCTAACCACTGCACGACCAAGACAATTCTAGGCTTTAATCAATACTCACCTATTAAATATCAAAGTACAACTGTACTTAAATTACCTAATACGGCCACCCCATATCCCATGTTCGGCTCCCCCATTCTATAGCTACAGGTGGGGACCATTATCTCTGTCAGGCAATCCGCACTGCGGGTAATGTTCTCAAACATGAATCCATGCATGTGGGTCAAATCTCTCTGATGAACCGACCAGGAGTAATCATCATTTCTCATGCAGTCATCACAAATATAGGCAACTGGCTATAAGAGAAAGTAAATTTGGAAAAATCAACATTTACTTCTACACTTGTATGAAATTCCAGCATTCAAATGTTAAACATTGCTTTACATTTAAAGAAAAAGAAATGTATAAAATTTAAAACCAATCTGTTTTTGTTAATAGAAGGTAGTAGATTTTTTTTAATCTTATACATGAAAATCTAACATATCTGACATACTGCGAAATAACAAATTTTCGTGGGGGGTTAATTTTCGGTGTTTTCAAGGACTGAAGAAACCCACGAATTCACCCACGAACCAAGAGTTTTTCTTCAAACCACGAAAAATTTGACCCCACTAAAATGTTATTTTACAATATATCTGATGAATATAATGAGGCATTATGTGCCGTTACTTATTGTGACATTTGAATGCTTTTGATGCTGTAACTTGTTTACCTTGTGCCAGTGAGCTGAGAAGATGAGTTTACCACTAACCATGGATAAAATCTGCAAATATATTTTATAAAAATTGGATACCTTTGAATCAACCTTCCTTTACTGTTAACATTATGCTTCATTTGAGATCAATCTTGCAACATTTGTTGCTAATACTGAAAGTCATTCTATCTGAAAAATATATAAACTATTTTTTTAGGAATAGACATATCTCTGATAAAAGATTGATTGATTGTATATTGTTTAACATCCCTCTCGAGAATTTTTCATTCATATGGAGAGCTGCAAATTTTTTCCTTTACACGGCACTCAGGGCCATTGAGCAGGGAGGTATCTTTTTCGTGTGTCAGCACCTACTGAGACATGCGACCTTGGTTTATACAGTCTCATCCAAAGGACCAGTCTACAGTGGGATTTGAACCCACAACTTAAGGATCAACTCTTTACTTTGCAACTCAAGAGCAGATGCTCTTATCACTGTGCCAAGCGGGTGACTTGATAAAAGAAGTTAAGATAACAAAGAGTGATTGATATTAAAAAAATGCACACACAATATAAATCTATGAATATGGCTAAAGGACTCTCTCCACACCCAGTACAAAATGTTTCTTAGCCATTGAGAAAAATATTGTATAAAAATGTTAGTATTGAGCTTATCTTCTTAATTTTCACTAAATGGTACCTGACATCTACCCCTAGGAAAATTTTTCAAACACAACACAGTATCAGTGAATAGAAATCACTATTCTTTACTTCCTACAGACAACACATGTAAATAGCATGTTCTATTAATTTTTTATCTTGGCCTTTTAAAATGTTCAGAATATATGAATCAATTACAAATTGAGTAATATACTGTAAATTTCTATTTCTAAGAATTTAAATCTAAGGGCAGATCACTCTAAATGCCATAGAATCAGAACTCTTCAAGGTGCAGTGTAGAGAGGGTTCTTAAAACAAAGACCTCTGAAAATTTCAAAGGTGGATCAGATCCCTAGGAGGAGTAAGCATCCCCTGTTGATCAGTCATACCCACCATAATTAGCCTTGAGTATTAATCAGGAAGACAGAATATACCATGTTCAATCTTTAGTACAAAACACCAGGGCTATAAACAATCGGTATGAAAAATGTAAACCAAAATACAATCTAAACATGATTATATTTGCTAATAAGGTCATTATAATGACCACAGAATTTATAAAATGTTCACCTTAACCCCTTCCATGGCAAAAATTTTAAGCATTTCTAGACAAATTGATATTAAGATTTCAATGCATTTTTTGAGCATTTCGTCTAATTTTTGTCTATACCAATGTATATATATCAGGGCTCGAGCTGTGATTCGCCATTGTCGCCAATTGCGAATTTTTTTCAAAAGTGGCGAAAAGAAATTCATAAGTGGCGAAAATGATTTTTTTAGATGTACCATGTACAAAATTTGTGTAGTCCTGGTTAGCTCCTTTGTTTATTCAATGTATACAGATAAGTCCCTTTGTTTATTCAATGCAGCAGAGGTGTGAAAACTGAAACCTACATGTAGGAAATCACGTCTCGCTTGAACGAACAGATCTGGCTAGGTAACTAGCCTGGAGCAATGAAGGGTTACAAAATTGCTTGAAATAATATAATTTGGATTAAACAAGGGGGGATAAAGTGTTATTAGGAGATGAAGTTAGTAAATAAAAGATTTTTATCAACAAAATCTGGATCTATGTAGATCGCTTTTTTTTAACCGAAAGTAGGGAAACATGACGAAAATGGTAAAGAATGGCTTCAAATTTTACCTACTGAAAATTAAAAAATGTGTACATTAATATACCATTAACTGACCAAGAGTGAAAAAGAAATTGGTTTGGAAACAGAATTATCTATAGTTAGTAAATTACACTGAATTATTTACAAGAACATGAGCTTGCATATTAAACCCTGAAGTCACCAAGTTGTTAAAATAAAGTCAAGTTTCAAACCTAATTTTCATTACTTTTTAATTTACTTCTTTTCACAATTAATTAATGAAATGATGAAAATTTCCATTTTTAAAAAATGTCATATTTTTACTAGGTCTGTAACCCCCCCCCCCCCCACTCTTTCCCAGGCAAACAAAAAATATAAACAAGAGAACATTTTCTGTCAAGAGTTGGCCAATATCAATACAATATCTAATTAATTGTGTAATTCCAACATATATTTTTTTCTTTTTTTTAAATGGATACTACCATAAGTTTAAAACATTACAATTTTAAAACAATGTCTCTGTCAGATAAACATAATAAAAAAAATTGAATGACAAAAAGTGCTTGCATTGTCGAGAAATCAGATGTAAATATGCCTTTTCTAAAGCTTGTGTCGCGAAAAGTGGCGAAAAATATTTTCGGTCCAGTGGGAGCCCTGATATATTCTGAAAGCAGGTATTGTGTTGTTTCTGAAAATGATCATAAAAATATTATTTTGGATGCCATGGCAAAAAAATACACCATAATCATGCTGGAATTTCCATTTATTCAAGAATGAGTTTCATTCAATTTTTTTTTGCTTAGTTAAATATATTAAAAAATATTTTATTGTTGTATTGAAAATTATGAGCATGTTGTATATTTTTTTTAAAAACCAATTTTAAGTATTTTTGGGGGGAGGGGGTGAGGTTGGGAGGTAACACTAGAATTTAGCATTTTTACATACAACATGCCCCTGCATTGATTTCGATACTTGCAAAATCGCTCAAATTGTGCGCAAAGTTTAACACAAGCTAGCAAAAAACTGGTTAAATCAATTAAAAAAATTTCCGTTTATTATTTTTTCGTAATTATTTTTTCTTTCCAACGGTGTAAGATTTATTCTGATATTTGCAGTATTAACGAAGTTATGAATGTTTTTTCACACAACTCTCGTTTTTCAAGTCAGAGGCGTAGAAATGTGTATATGCCATGTAAGGGGTTAAGGAGGGTGTTTTTCTTATGCCATGTAAGGGGTTAAGGAGGGTGTTTTTCTTATGCCATGTAAGGGGTTAAGGAGGGTGTTTTTCTTTCTTTTAGTAGCCTGCCTACATTTAAAATTGGATCATACTTGGAGCAAGGTTTTAAGTATCAAATGAATAAGATGGAAGATGTAAACCCAATATGCAGTTGATAGCAGAATATTACTACAGTACATAAATAAGTTTTTAATGGAGACTGCAGCTTTACTGTTCCGATCTGAAATTGTATTTTGGGCATAAATCTTTTTTTTTTCCCAAAAAAATTTCTAAGTAAAATCAGATAACATAAAAATTGAAGTTTTCAGTAATATTCTAAAGCATTTTCATCTTCTTTAGCCATGGTTTTTCGATCCACACCGCTCCAGGGCACTCCCCATAAACATATGGGGAGCGCCAGAGCGATGCTCCCCATTAACATATGGGGACCGAAAACCCTTGACTAATGAAGCTAGAGCACTTTTTAAAATAATTACATTAAATGTTCTGATTTAAAAACTTCTCTGAGGACTTACAGGGTAGATAGGTGACTTGAACTGTAAGGGTAACAGACTCTCGTGGTTGATGACAACATGGATGGGTGAGTTCACTGACTTCCTGTAATGTCTGAACAGCTGCTCCTTTTCTTGGAACTCCGTATTCTGTAGTCGGGTGTCAATCTGAGAAAAAGGAATTTTACCATGGTGTGATATAACTTGATATGCAAATTAAAATACCGTAGGAACATGTACCTTTTGAAAGGTGGTGCAATTTACACAGAATATGACACACATTGCAAGTGATTCTTACAACTAGTCAGCCTAATCCGACTCTAGGATCTGTTCTGTTAGCATAAAACACAATGCAACTTTATCTTTCTGTAAATCGTATCCCTCAACACCAATCCCCCACCCCCTTTAATGATGGGGTGGGGTCAGTAAATAACTTCTTCTTAAAGTTTTTTTTTTTTATCATATATGTTTTTTTTTTTACACCATTCTGACTTACCTTGATAAAATCTATGAACTTATGTTGAATAATGCCATCGACTTGTTCAAAATGTTTGACAAATCTGTCGACTTTCTCTGGTGTGCGGAAGTCCCTGAATTCCCCTCCTACATCATTGTCTCCTGGAATGTAGATTCTCTGAAAAAAAATAAGATGAGCATAGAGGCCATACATACATCTAGGGAAATTTTGTATATTTAATTAAGAATCTTTTTATTTTCAACAAATAATAAAAATGAAGCAAATGTCAGAGAATCTGTAAGTAAAAGCACTGCAAGGAACAACAAAGTCTAAAATTATTTATCAACAGTATTACAACAATAATGTTTTTTGGGTGGTCTTTTGAGCCCAAAGGCACAAACCAACAGTCCAACACGTTACTAAACCCTCAAACAAGAGGCCCATGGGCCACATCGCTCACCTGAGAAGCTTTGACCATTTTGGTCTTTACCAGATTTCCCCCTTGTAATACATAATGCATCCCCACCCTACCCCACTGATCATAATTAAGACATTTTGAAATCTACACTACCTCAAGGTTCTTCCTTGTGCACATAAGTTTCAGCTTTTCTGGCCCAGTGGTTCTTGAGAAGAAGATTTTCAAAGATTTTGCCTATATATTTCTATGTAAAACTTTGATTACCAATTGTGGCCCCGCCCTTCACCCGGGGGTCATGATTTGAACAATTTAGAATCTACACTATACCGGGATGCTTCCACATAAGTTTCAGCTTTTCTGGCCCAGTGGTTCTTGAGAAGAAGATTTTCACAGATTTTTCCTATATATTTCTATGTAAAATTTTGATTCCCCATTGTGGCCCCGCCCTTCCCCCGGGGGTCATGATTTGAACAATTTAGAATCTACACTACCCCAGGATGGTTCCACATAAGTTTTAGCTTTTCTGGCCCAGTGGTTCTTGAGAAGAAGATTTTCACAGATTTTTCCTATGTATTTCTATGTAAAACTTTGATTACCAATTGTGGCCCCTCCCTTCACCCGGGGGTCATGATTTGAACAATTTAGAATCTACACTATACCAGGATGCTTCCACATAAGTTTCAGCTTTTCTGGCCCAGTGGTTCTTGAGAAGAAGATTTTCACAGATTTTTCCTATATATTTCTATGTAAAACTTTGATTCCCCATTGTGGCCCCGCCCTTCCCCCGGGGGTCATGATTTGAACAATTTAGATTCTACACTATACCAGGATGCTTCCACATAAGTTTCAGCTTTTCTGGCCCAGTGGTTCTTGAGAAGAAGATTTTCAAAGATTTTTCCTATATATTTCTATGTAAAACTTTGATTCCCCATTGTGGCCCCACCCTTCCCCGGGGGTCATTATTTTAGCAATTTAGAATCTACACTACCCTAGGATGCTTCCACATAAGTTTCAGCTTTTCTGACCCAGTGGTTCTTGAGAAGAAGATTTTTTAATGACCCCACCCTATTTTTGTCTTTTCTTGATTATCTCCCCTGTGAGGGGACTTGGCCCTTTATTTTAAGAATTTAAATTCCCTTTCAACCAAGGATGCTTTGTACCAAGTTTGGTCAAAATTGGCCCATTGGTTCTTAAGAAGAAGTCAAAAATGTGAAAAGTTTACAGACGGACAGACAGACAGACAGACGGACGGACGACGGACAAAATGTGATCAGAAAAGCTCACTTGAGCCTTTGGCTCAGGTGAGCTAAAAATTGTATTTCTTTAAAATAGGATGTAGGCACTTACACAATCTAGGGTAAAAAGTAGTAACCCATATTTTTTTTTCAAGTTACTTGTTTGCTAACCCAAACCTTTGCTTTAAACTTATAATTTTCTAAAAGACAACAAATCTTATTTAAAATGCACACAAATTCAGCCTACCTTGCAGGAGTGAAAATAGAAATTTGAAAGAAATGACATTTTTACTTAAAACTTTTAAAAAGAAATTATAGTCTTTTATCTAATTAAGAGTTAACTACCTTATCTGAGAGTCAGTGACTCTTAAGCCCTATCAATTATACTCAAGGGAGTACCTTGGCACTTGGGAAGTTTGAGAAAATGTTATGAAATCTGTAATAAGTATCTCTGTATTCATCGTGAGTGGCCCGGCTTCCTTCGTCCATTAGGTCGCCCAAAAATATCACAACGTCTGGCTTCGCATGAGCCGCAGCAAAGGAAAATGTCTTTTTGAGGTAACTAAAAAATATATGTATAATAAAGACATTCATGCACTCTATCTTGAATGTAGAAATCTCAATAATTGTGTTCCATTTATTTTATATTTTATATCAATTAAAATTCACTTACATGTATTTACTATACTGAGGGCACAGACACTTGGTGCAAGCCCTCCCCTCCCTTTCCCACCTTTTTTTTCAATTTCTCTTTCACTTAACAATGTGATCCTCAATCTTTTTTTTCTATTGTTCATATTTTTTAAATAATGCTTGATGCCCTTTTTAGATTATGAAAACAGTTTGTTTCATTGATCTACATCTATACCCTTTTTTATCTACATGGTAAAGTATACAGTATGTCAATACAACAATGTGCATGAAACAAATCTAACTGTTACATTAATAGATTATTGAAATAATTACCTATCAGCATCCCATCTGGCATAAGGTCCAATCCAAACTCCTTCAGTCTGGTACCCCTGTATCTGAGGGTCGGCTACCAGCAAAATAACAACGGATGAACCATCTTCCCTGCAAGACAAGGGTTTATTTTAAAATTCTGTATTCCACATTAACAAATAAGTTATATTATATCTTTCCTTCTTTACTGTAAACTGCATGATATGAGCAACAAATATACAGTCAGATATTGTTATCCTAAACTCAGTGGGACTTAACTGAAACTAAAGAAAATCTGACATGTCAGATTTTTTATAATATACATAATGAACTTTTTATAACATCAAAAGCTTTGTGTAAATTAATGCGCAAAAGACAAATACTGTATGTGTACTAAAAAAAGCAGGCTTCATACCATATAACAGGTTATTTTAGGGTGATAATTTTGGCTTATTTTAGCGTTTTGATGGTAGCCCGCTAAAATTTTAATCTCTAAAATATTCAGTAGGGATGGGTATCGCTAAAAAATTTGTATTGCGATATATCACGATTTTTTCCCCAAAATATCATGATAATATGATATTTTTACAAGCAATTTTTACAATGAATTTAAATGAAGAGCATTATTTTTCTTTAAAATATGCTAGAAAAACATAACTTCACTTTTTTGAAATTTTCATGCAAATAAAACTACTCATGTTTGGATGGTAAGATGCCATTCTTTTCACCTTTTACAACATTTTGCAGACTTTCTCTTATTGTAATTTGAAAGATTGAACAAATAAATGAATAATTTCTGGACTCTACATGTATTAATATGCACTTAAATACCGGTATTTAGGTCTCCATATCACAATACGTATCACGCAACAAAAAATCACGATATACCGGTGTCATATAATATATTGAACCCCGCGATATTTTGAACCTGGGTTCAAAATATCGCTGCGAAATATTGAACCCCCCTGTAAAATATTGAACCCGGGGTTCAAAATATTATGGCCATAAAATATTGAGTCCCCCTAAACATTCAATTTTACAGGGAGGGGGTTCAAAATATTATGGCCATAATATATTGAGTCCCCCTACTCATTTTATTTTAGAGGGAGGGGGGTTCAAAATATTATGGCCATAAAAATTGAGTCCCCCTGCCCTTTTAATTTATGAGGGAGGGGGTTCAAAATATTATAGCCATAAAATATTGAACCCCCCTCTCCTTTAAATTTAAGAGGGAGGGGGACTCAATATTTTATGGCCATAATATTTTGAACCCCCCTCCCTCTTAAATTAAAAGGGCAGGGGGACTCAATATTTTATGGCCATAATATTTTGAACCCCCTCCCTATAAAATTAAAAGGGCAGGGGACTCAATATTTTATGGCCATAATATTTTGAACCCCCTCCCTGTAAAATTAAATGGGCAGGGGGACTCAATATATTATGGCCATAATATTTTGAACCCCCTCCCTCTTAAATTAAAAGGGCAGGGGGACTCAATATTTTATGGTCATAATATTTTGAACCCCCCTCCCTCTTAAATTAAAAGGGCAGGGGGACTCAATATTTTATGGCCATTATATTTTGAACCCCCCTCCCTGTAAATTAAGAGGGCAGGGGACTCAATATTTTATGGCCATAATATTTTGAACCCCCCTCCCTCTTAAGTTAAAAGTTCAGGGGGACTCAATATTTTATGGCCATAATATTTTGAACCCCCCTCCCTGTAAAATTAAATGGGTAGGGGGACTCAATATATTATGGCCATAATATTTTGAACCCCCTACCTCTTAAATGAAAAAGGTAGGGGTTCAATATTTTATAAGGGGGTTCAATATATAATTATTGCAGCGAAAAAGTGAACCCGGGTTCAAAATATTATGCGATATTTTGAACCCGTGTTCAATATATCGCGGTATCAAAATATTATGCTACACCGGTATACAGATAAAATCGCACATCCCTAATATTCAGTACTCTTCTTAGTGTTCATCTGAAAAGAGCTGAAACCCCAAGTCCACTAAAATAAATTACTCCAAAACTATTATACCTTTGAGCAGACAAAACACGAAATTTTACATTTGCCAAGGAAACCCGCTATACGGTATTTAAGTGGCTTTGGCTCGAACAAAAATGCAATAATTCATGAATGCCACTTAGAAATCATTTACTAATACAAAACAAGGCATGAACATGTGTAGCGCTAATTCATGATTATGGAATATGCTAACAACTTTATACCCATTGATTCCGCTCAATTTTGAATACACCAATTCATTACATGTGTAGTACATATTGATATTTTAATTAGAAAGTATTGTCTTGATATGTGATAATATGTATACAAACCTGTTTACATCTGGCATGGCTGGCCATCTCATGGTTTGAAAGACGTAGATGAAATACTCATTGAACAAAACTAAACATATCAGAACTACGAGAGAAAACTGGAGTGGAGTCCAACTCTTTCCACACAGGAAACACTGTGTATGGGATGGCATGCTTCACAGAGGTTCCTCTCACAACCACCCATAGAAGAATTCACAGCCATAGCTGCTTCACATTTTAAACTATATATAAACAAAAAACAAGAAATTGATTAATTGAACAGATGTGTAACATCATTTTACAAAGTATCATGCATTGAGATATTTCATAGCTATTTTTAACTGCACTGACAGAATTATTTTATTGTATAGTTTTAGATTATAGACTTTGTTTTATTTCTGTTTTGAATTAACAGAGTTGTCCATAAGAATTGAAATAAAAAAGGGTCATGTGAAAAGTAGAAGGGAGTCTGGCCGGGGTTTCCCTATTAGGGAGTAATGAGGAATGACCAAATGATCAGGGATTGCATCATTATAAGCCAGAAAATTCCCCCCAAGGGTCTTAGTCTCACAGTGAGAAGCCTGGAAATACCGGTATAAATACATGTACATGTAAATTACATAAAATGTATGTGAATATATGAAATAAATAAATTCATTCTCTCAATTATTAAATACTTATAGTGGACACTTTTTATGGAGTTTTTCTGCAAGGATTCTGGCTTATGCATCCTCAATAAATATTCCTTTTCACATGACTTATATCATTCTTTCATCAAAACAAAAAATAAAAAGAATGGTTCAGATTTTTTTCTGATGGAAATAGTATTTAAGAACTATCCAGGGTATACAGGTATAAGGAATTTCCTGAATTATATCTTATGTTAGAGTTGAAATTGAAGAAAATATAACTGCTGTAAATTTGTGTGGTCATAAATATTGTGTGAAAAAATATTGAAATCATGTGAGTCAAGCAATAAATCAGACAACAGAAAATTATTGAAAACTGTGATCACAGTAGGCAATATAAAATGCTGGATATATTATTGGAAAGAAGAAGTTATTCATTGACAAAGAAAACTGTGCTTGTCCTAACAAATTCAAAATTAGTCATATCAAATACTTAAATAATAATTGAAAATTGAAAAATAATTAAAGGTTGCAGCCAACTTGCAGGGCAGTGTACATACTTAAAAAGAGTATTTATTTCTTATGAAAATTTCAGGTAACAAAATTCATTTTAATTCGCAATTATAAATAATATATGTTCACTCTCTGACACAAGAGTTAGTTAATCACTTTGAATAGTACACATAAAGATTTAAGAATAGTTATAGAACAGTTTTGCTCCATTTAGTGAAGCTCTTTGAAAATTATCATCGACATTAACATTATATTGATCTGCCAAACAGATTGGGAACATTCCTCCAAATAATCATTTAATCCCCGTTTGGAAGACAGTCTTCCATATCCGTGAGGAATTTTACTGACCAAATGGTGGACTTTTTTAATTCTTTTCCAATTTTCATAAAAATAAAACAAAATCACATTTGCAAAGGCATTGGGGAATATTGATGAATATATTCCTCACACAATTAACATAGTTTGGTCGATTTTTCATGTGAAATTTCTCTGTAGCTTCGTGAAAACGACACCCATAGTTGTCTGCAACAGCCGAACTTCTTGATCAATCAATCAAAAGAAAGTGTTGTGACTTGTTGGATAAAAATTCAAATTTATCTAGTGGTTTAACTCTTGATGAGTTAACTTTCAATCGCTCTTTGGATCTTGGTCAATATTTATCACCATAAAATCCCATAAAACACTAGCTCCTCAGTCCTCATACTTAACTGGTACATGTATGGTGGGCACTTACTGCTACAGTTAAATTTTTGTAGAAGTCTTGAAAGTAATATTTGTTCATTTTGTTATTTTTCTTTTAGGATAAAGTTTTATATTCCACGCCACATTTTGTGGTTTGATATGCCTATTCCTGCTGAATTTAATATATTTGAAGATTGATAAATAATTTTCAAGAAAAGATTTACAAAGTCGACTTTTGCAATTATTCTTGTTTTTGTTTAAGTAAATCCTTTTAAAACAATAATTACATCACAATCTAACTTCATTTACTATTTTTATAGAGAACTTATTGTGTGCAAAATAAAATGAGGTACAGACAAAAACTTGTTTTTCTTTTGATTTCCTAACTGAAAATTGACACAAATGTGCCTCCGTAGTAAAATCTAACTTTTGACCATGTTAAAAAAAAAAGATAATCTTTTCAATTATTTGCAATATTTGATTGGTTGCCGGGATAAAAAAACATGATTGACAAGTGCCACAGCATTGGAGAAGGAGGGAATTTTCTTTGAAAGTAAAAATAGAGAAACATTGCACTTGTTTACGTATGAGACTTTTTATATTAATTTTTTTAACAAATCTGAATTTCCGATTATTGTTTAATCAGAACACTGATAAATATCTATTATATTTTAATTTACATGGTTTAATATTATGCGCCTTCTACGCCATCCTTTGGAATTGTACACAACCATTTTTCTCTCCCAAAAGATCAGTAAAATTCGTCTCCGATATGGGAGATTGTCCACCAAACGGGACATACTAAAACAAGTCCCACGGGGAAAATAAGTCCCACATGAGTCCCACAGAAAAATAATGAGTTCCACCAGGAAATAAGGCATTTTATTGATATTTAATAACATATATTTGTAGATTATCATTGTTTAGATATATTTTGAATAAAATTTTATCACAAAAAATGTTTTTGATGCCCGCGGTTACAGCGATAAGTTGCAAAAACAAAGAACGATAACTCCTATATTCTCACCTAACTCGAGTGTTTCCAAGTCCTACCAATAATGATAAAATTTTAGTAGTTTTTGAAAACAAATATTAATATGTATTATAATTTAATTATTAGATGAATTATGTTTTTAAAAATGCAAGAGGTTCAAAGATGTTTCCTAGTGATCGTTTACAAACAAAGAACAATAACTCTTACATCTACCTCAAGTAACAAGCCATCTAAATTTTAATTTTTAAGATTTAATAAAACTTTCACAATGTTCCTTGATTTATATGCCTTATGCAGCAAATCTAATGACTGTAAGAAAAAAATTTAAAACAGCCAATTTCGATCGAATTTTATATAAATTAACAAATTAAACAGACCTTCAAGTATCGTTTAATTGATACAAAGTGAAAAATCTAATTTACTCATTCATAGCATGATATGAAATTGGAAGTGATTTATAGCTGACAACAGTGATATACTAGTATTTTAATGATATCTTTTTTTCTTTAATAGCATTACACTGTATCTATGTGATGAAAAACTTTCAGTGAGAGAATAAGTACTCAGATGCATGGGCTTTTATTCAGGTATCCTGAAAATATAATTATTTGATGAATATTATGAACTTGAGGAAAATAAACGTTTATCATTTAGTTATACCATGTGTTTTAATTCTGTTCAAGTCCTTCTGTCGAAGATGAAAACACTTAAATTCCGATTAGACTGCAGCTTTGATTTTTTTACAGTGTAAATAACAAGTTATAATGCACAATGTCACTATAATATGTAATTAGTATACTTACTTACTTACTTTTTGAATTCGCTGACATTCAATAACGCAACAGCAGGATTTCAAAACCTAAGTTATAGACTATAAAGTTTGGCTACTGAAGTCTGTATATCAAATTCTTTCATTAAAAAGAAATTTTTTTCAGATCAAAATTAAATTCAACTTCTAAATTTGCTGTTTTATTTTTTGTTTGCACATATAATTCATTGTGTAAATCAAGTCACTATAAAATTCCAAGTTTATTAAAAAATACTCTTTATTGACAAGTTCCACATCCAGGAGTGTGACTGGCTTTACAATGTAATAATCTAAATTTTTATCTTTATTTACATGATGGATAATGAACACATTTTTTTTTAAATTAAGAAAATGGATATATAACAGCTAATTCTCTGCATGGTATGTGGTCTACAAATTCATTTGAAAATTCAATGGTTGTAACTATAACACTATTGATTTGAATCTTTTCATACAATTTAAATAGCAAGAATGTACTTTTAGAGGTATCATATAAAGTAAATAAGAATTTACGATTTACAGTAGTCTAGTCCAAATCACAATTCTTTATCAATTTTAATTTTCAAAGAATTTTTTTATCTAGGAAATCAAATATGAAAATTTTTAATTAATGATTTCTTTATTATGACCTTATTTGTCATACATACTAATAGCTGAATTTTCAATAATTCTACATTAAATTAAGTATTTTATTTGAATTCAAAATTCAGTAACCTAGCTCCAGACTTGTGCAAAAGTTATTGTAATAGTTATACAAACAATAGGGAGATTGAAAGGTGTGAATAACATCCCCCAGGTGTTGTGTACAGGTATACAAGGGACGTACCTCAATAGGGCTCTGTGTATATACACAATAAACATGGGTCTGTCATGGGTGTCAGGAAAACTTACCAAGTAGTTGTTAAAATACATAAAACCATAATATAAAAAGTATTTTAGTTTGTAAAATAAAGAATAATGATATACTAGAATAAAATAAAACATATGTTTAGCTGTATATCAAATAATATATGTTTTCAAACGAAACTTGAAAATTCAAGTAAAACAGATTGAAGAACAAATCAAATTCAGAAATAAAACCATATAAACTTCATTATTTAAAAAAAGATTTGTTAGACAAATATCAACTGACTAATTTTTTTTTAAATAGAAAAAAAGTTAGCTTTCAACAGTGTTCAAGGATTGCCAATATAGTTCTTGGCCATTATTTACATTTGAACAGAGTTATCGTTCTTGACTGTGGTCTGATATTTACAATCGTCTATTTAACACACTAAAGTTCATTTTATCAAAACTTTTTTTGATATATGATCATATAAATATCATTTTCTTTCAAAATAAACCTTTATTATATGTATTTATTCGCTCTATTGCTGTGGGACTCACGTAGGACTCATGTGGTACTTATTTTCTCCGTGGGACTTATTTTAGTATCAGCGCCACCAAACGGGGGATAAGTGACCATTTGGTAGGGGTGTGCACAACCTGATGAATGTTACACAGGATATCCTGGCATGAAGTCTATGCCAACTTACCGGTATTATCAACAATATGAATGCTACTGTCTTGCCCTAGTTTAAATATTTTTGTTACCTATTCATGTACAGTTCTTTTAAATTCAATTAATAAAAGGAAATATACAAATAACTAAGTAATGTAAAAAATACTTTTTTCAAGTCGATGGACAGCGCCATATTGATTTTCTCCTGTAACTCGAGCCCGACCTATTTAATTCTGAGCGAGAGTGCTTGACAATGTTGTAGTTTCCTGTACTAAATTCTTGCGTTAATTAATTTGTGTTTTGTGTGAAAATTAATTAATATTTTTATTTCTTTTACATCAAAGGTAAATTGAGTACATTCTGTTTATATTTATTGCTCCCCACAGGTACTTGCATGGGTCTTTTAAAAAAATATAAATAGGCCTATGTATACCTATTTTAAAATATACATGTACTTTTTATCCCCCCCCCGTAATTTAAGATTCGGGGGTATATAGCTTTTGTCATGTCCGTCCATCTGTCTGTCTGTTTGTCCGCAAAAAAACTTGAACCACGGACCTAGTATATAAAATATATATATATAGGTCCCTGTTTTAAGCTTGCCCATAACTTTTGACTTAGTTGAAGTATGACTTTCATGTTTTACATGTGTATTCCCTGTGATAGAACCTTTCTTTGGGTATCACCAAATTCGACCTTTTGACCATGACATTGGAGTTCTACACACTTTTACACAACAATTCCAAACACAATCTTCAAATGGCTATAATTTTGAACGGTAGATACTAGGACTCTCATGAAAGTGTACTTAAGTTATGTATATTCTTTGTGACAAGACCTTCCTTTGAATACCAATAACCTTGACCTTGGAGATTAACGTACTTAAAAGAAAACGTAAACCTTTGATCGGTATAAGGGTAAGGGTTTCCATATTTCACATATGCAATCCTTGTGAGAGGACCATTCATTGGATAATTACAACTTTGCCACTTTGACCTTGCAGTTTGACCTACTTTTCAAAATCAAACTTGACCATAACTTTTGAAGGGTTAGGACTACAGGGCTTTCTTACTTCATATATTTTATCATTGTGACAAGACCTTTCATTGGATACTAACAATCCTGAGCTTGGAGTTTGACCTTTTTAAAAACTTAAATCTTAACCATAACGTTTGAACGGTTAGGGCTGTGGCTTTCGTACTTTACATACTAGTATAAATTATGTAATCATTGTGACAAGATCTTTCTTTAGAAAGCAACAACCTTGACTCTTTGACTTTGACCCTGGAGTTTGACCTACCTTTCAAAAAACTTATCCTTGGCCATAACTTTTGAACAGGACATAACAATAGATATACACATATATAAACCAAGACCCAGATACCGGTGCTTCTCCCATTAAAAAAAATCAAGTGGTATTTTTTGTATTTTACAATGAAATGTTTGTATTTATGACATTTTTTCATTTAATTGTTCTTTCAGTTGCAATTTACGGTGATTAATTTTCATGGGTACATAAACGGGGAATAATTTCTCTATTTCCCGACAAAATTAAGAGAACCATTTCCAGTGTCCAGCATCAAAAAACTTGAACAAGTGGTAAAGAATTTCGTAAATTTGGTAAAAATACCCTTATTCATTTACCTGTTTGCCTCCTAGAAGCTGATGTACAGAGAAGTTTTTCAAAGCATACATTTCCTCAATGATTGAATTCTAGTCATTATTTAACTAAAGTTACTAAGTCTGGTCACTACCAGCTTTGGATTCTGAATCATTCTACATTTTCCAGAGAGTGCTCATCACAACCCTATGGCCTGTAATTATTAAACTTGCATGGATGGTGTATAAGGACAGGTACTTCCAGATTTGCTGGTGAAGTTAGAACTGACCGAAATTTTCTTGATGAGCAAACAGGTGAAAGCTTATCTTAGAGCGAGTTCATTTCCAAGTCACAACAAAGTCCTTGCATGGATATGGGATATTGATCTTGGGGTGTACACTAAGTAGAGAATCAAAGTACTGAAAGTACTGAAAAGAGGTTAGCATGCTTTCATCTAATATGTACCGAAAAAAGTGCATGAAATGATGATATTTAAGTATGCATATCTTTGTCCAATGTCATCAGAGAACAAAAAAAACCCAGACATTCTGTTTTTGTAATACTTTACTTAATAGTAAAACCAATAACATTCCAAACTGATGTCACAGATGGATGCAATCTAATTAAAATTAGATGTTCCGAATCCGCTACTGCTTCTCAAACATCTAACAACATCCTATTTGGGGTCATGTAAGAGTAAATCTTCGATTAGCCAAAGAAAATAGTTCCTCCGAAATCTTGGCTTATAGTTCAGATGGGTTTCTTGTTTTCACCACCGAACCAAAACACCCGAGGATCGAGTTTTGTAGTAAACAAAATATGCATTGCAAAAGCTGTGTTTTGTATGACGTGTGGGGTATCTTGTATAGTTTGTGCTCTTTCGTTTGCATTATTCACGTTCAGATGCCAGACTGCAGACTATACATGAAATTTATTCCAAAATTACTTTAATTCAACGTAAGACAGCATCAATAACGATGTTATGTAGCCGTGGAGTTAATTTGAGAATTGTTTACCGAGGCTTGAATCTATATGGCCAAAGTGTTTGTGTTTACTGGTATATGTATTCATAATCGAAAGGTCGCTCTGATGTGACCCCGAATGGGATGTTAGATGTTTGAGAAGCGGTAGCGGATTTGGAACATTTAAATAAATTTTAATTAGATTGAAATGCATGTTTGAAATTTAAACATGAGATTTCTTCAGTTTGAAAGACAGGAAGTGCATTTTTAAAAGTTCTCTCTTGGTGGCATCCAATCGTTCTCTGGATGAAAACAATTATGTTGATGCTGAAAATTTAATTGTCTTTCATGCTCTATTGAATCTGAAATTAGGTAATTGTAAAGCCTACTATAGCAAACAACTAAGAAAATGACAAGTTAAATTCTTTAGATTAATGGATTTGGAGTAGTGTAGATCTACAGTTGGCTAGTCAGAGAAAAAAGGATGGCTGAGCAGAGACTTTGTAAATGAATTGATATCAGAGAGCTCCAGATGTGTAGGCTCACTGCGGGTGTAACCTGTCAAGAGGGATGCTTACTTCTTCTAGGCAACGGAGCCCATCTCTTGAACTTTCAGGAATCAGCTTTTCATCTTAAATCGATCATTGATCATTCTGTATTTTGATACAGATACTGAATACTTCCGTTTAGTAATATTATGAACTACTACTTCTACGGGAAGACTGGCGAGTAAACAAGATTATCAAGCTTTATGAAATGTACTTTATTGACTTTTCAAACAAGTAAATGTTCGAATAAAGTAAATGGTATATGAGAATCATTTAAAAGAAGTCTTGTACAATATGTCTAGATAAGGACATATAAGGTGTATTTGCCATATACTCTTCATGCAATATTGTTCTCAAATAAAACATGTGAAAAGGAAAGTTGTCAAATCAATCAATACTAGTATTTAAAAATTCAAATGTACACTAAAAGTCAGTGTAACTTAAGAAGTTATCAGTGTCACTTTCTTCAATATGTCGGATAAACAATATACACTGATTTCTTTTCTAACAATGTGCCTCTAAACACCTGTATTTTAATTTAATTCTTCTTAAACACTCAAAATAATAATCGACAAATTGGACAAATTCAAATTTAAAAAGTATTTTCTCAGCTAATAATACATTCCTTAGGAATTGATCAAATTTTCAAAACTTATAAATAAGCATTAAGTATATATTTTAAATTTTTGCTAATTGCCAAGATTTTTCATACCTTATTCTTCTGTGAATAATAATATCGGTTGATTTTTAGAAGAGAATCACAATGCCGATTAAAATTAATATATATTTATCCATTTTTTTTTCAAAATTAATTTTACTACTTTAAGTGCCCCATTATATTTTTTCAAAACTAAAAGTAAGTAATCCCTTATGATCGTTTGTCATAAATTATCAAAGACGGAGTAGAGAATTTACCTCTGGGAGCAGAGCTTTTATAATCTGTTTATTAGACAGAGAAGAAAAGAGAAGAAAACAAACGTTTCATTGTGGAGGTAATCCTATTGTTTCCATAAAAACGTTACAAAAAGTGTAAAACGTACAGATGTATTCGGTGTTTTTATAAAAGCGTTTTTCAGGTATTACTTAACAGGTGTTTCTTAATACTTTGGCACGGAAAATCAAACTCGATCGAGAGATTTGCTGATGTTTTTGCAGTCTGTAATAACCTTCAACCTGCTGTATAATTAACCGCATCGTTCAACTTTCAAAAATAAACTAACAGTTGCTATAAATCGCGATCGCACGATGTACATGTAATAAGGACCAAATTCTCAGTTCTTTGAAGTTAGTATTCTAAGTATTGTCAATGCTTTGGTAAATACTAATAAGAATTCGATATAATCGTTATATACACAGCTTATTGTCAATCTCTCACCAGGGGGCGTATTACGCCAACAGTATACAAATCATAGGAAGCGCTTTGCTGAAGTTACCGTTGTCGATAGGTAGCGCCTTGTGGAAGTTTCCGGTTAAGGTTGCAGAAGGATAAGGTTACGTGCCATAAAGCGATGTGGATAGGTAGCGCCTTATGGAAGTTTCCGGTTTTTGGAGGCCCATGCCATAAAGCGGTTAGCTAGCTAACCGCTTAAAAATTGTGAGATTTGCCTTCGTCGAGGTGAGCTTCGTAATCTTTGATTACCTGTGTTTTTTAATTTATGGAAAGCTACAGGCAAATAAGTTGATGTTAAAGAGAGTCCAATAGTGGCATTTAAAGTCGGCATTTTTATAAAATTATATTGAAGCTAATATAGAATTTGTAAGCATTCATTCATTCCATCTGTTCGTATTTTGACTGACATATCCCATACCGATTAATAAGCCTATGTTTTAAAACTAAAGTTGACTAAGAATTCCGGATTTGTGTAAATGAGAGAACTGGCTCTCTTGGTTTGTACGATGTCGTTTTTCAATGTCTCTTTTTTCATTTGCCTCAGGCATGCTTTACTGTAAATATTTCATGCTTGTTACATCCTCTCTATACTGTTGTTACAGTTTAAGAGGATAAACTATTGTCTACTTGATGAAAAATGCATAGGGCTTACGAGTGTGACCGTTCGAAAGAGGACGTTTATTCCTCCTGAGTACCTGATTCTGC